GCAGTTAGATGCGATATGATATGACTACTAGGCACTTTAATTTAATTAAATTTTTTTTTTTTTTAGGGTTAGGGTTAGGTTTTAGGTTAGGTTTAGGGTTTAGTTAGGTTAGGGTTAGGGTTAGGGGTTTTTTTTTTTTTTAAGTGGCCTAGTAAGTCATATCCTAAGTGCCTAGTAGTCATATCATATCGCATCTAACTGCCGGGTGCGAGTGCGACAGATATTGCAGGGTTCGTAGATGATAGCAGGAGCGTATAATGACAAATATACGCCAATATTTGTACGCGCAAATACGCGCAAAACGCACAAAATACGCGCAAATACGCAATATACGCGCAAATATTTGTCATTATACGCTCCTGATGATAGGCGAGGTATAGCGGTTGCGTGGGGAGGGTGTGTAAAATGGAGGGTAGGGGTAGGGGGGTTGAAGAATGTGTGTGCGTGTGTGTGTGTGTGTGTGTGCGTGCGTGTGTGTGTATGCGCGTGCGTGCGTGCGTGTGTGTGTGTGTGTGTGTGTGTGTGTGTGTGTGTGTGTGTGTGTGTGTGTGTGTGTGTATGTGCGTGTGTGTGTGTATGTGTGTGGTGTGTCTGCGTGCGTGCGTGCGTGCGTGCGTGTGTGTGTGTGTGTGTGTGTGTGTGTGTGTGTGCGCGCGTGTGTGTGTGTGTGTGTGTGTGTGTGTGTCGTGTGTGTGTGTGTGTGTGGTGTGTGTGTGTGTGTGTGTGTGTGTGTGTGTGTGAGTGTATGTATGTGTTTAGATATTGTAAAAAATATGGTCTAGTTTATTATAACAGATTAACGAGGAAAACTCTCATGAAAATTGTAAAATTCGTGCGCACCAACTGACCACTGACAAATAGACAGGTTGACGCTTCCTTACGATGCAGACTCCTTAATTTATACACCTTTGCAATCATCAATCAGATGAAACCTGGCATTTAAAATCGTGCTTTGCTACTATTATGTTTATTTGTCGGAATCACGTGTAAATAATTCCAATATTTTCTATATGATGACCGTCCTATATCACTTATTTATCGAACTAATAACAAAAAATATTGAACTTTGCCGCATATTGGTAATCTAGCTGTTGCAGACCAAACGCAGACAAGCTATCCAACCTGCGCGCGAGCGAATATGCTTTACAGTTTCAAAAACCAAACCAAATACATGCAGGATGATCGTAGCTTCACGCTATTATTTATTATATTTTTTATTACTCATATTGTAAGTGTATTTATTATTAAATAGTAGGTTCATTTATGTGGCATATGTTTATTATTTTTCGCCGATCATGCGAAAGCATAACATTGCATAACATACATAACATAACATACATAACATGCGATAACATTGCAGCTGGCATAATTATAGTTCCAAAATGCTGCGGCCTCAATTTCTTTTCATCAAAATGTTGTTCTACAGGTGGCAGCACCAGCCTATGTTTGAAACGCGCGTATGGAGCAAAATACACACATTTTCTGTTATGAAGCAAGCCTGCCCTCTCCTAAGCCACACAGTTAGGCATTAATGTATATGAAAATGTATGTAATGCACTCGATAATACGTTACTGCTATATATACATTCACATTCGGATATATTCGCTAAATTCGCTATTACAATTTGAAAATTTGATATTACATTCACAGCAAAATATAATACTACTATAAGGAACAGGAAACTATATAATCGCATGCGACTGCAAATGTGCTCGCTGCATGGTTGCGAAAATGCACATAGCTGCTTGTAGGAGCGTTAGTGAAAGCGGTAACAGTTAGGAGCCCGCATTTCCATCAATAGATCTTTAACATACAGCTAGGCCGCACCCATACGTCCATATTTTAGCTGGATGTAGCAGATAGATATGTGGGAGTTTCTAAGCTTGTGGTGTGGTACGTAAAAGATATATATCTGGAAGTTTTCTAAGGTTGTGGTGTGGTATGTAGCTGATAGATATGTGGTTTTTTTTAAGTTTGTAGTGTTGTATATAGCAGATAGATATGAGGGGAGTTTCCAAGCTTGTGGTGTGGTATATAGCAGATAGATATGTGGGGGGGGGAGGTTCTAAGCTTATGGTGAGGTAAGTAGCAGATAGATATGCGGGGGTTTTCTACGTCTGTGGTCTGAAATCAGCTACAATTGACGCGATTAGGGTGATTATACAAACGGATTCTCGCGTCTGCCGAGCGACAATCGGGTTTTAGCGCCCTTCTCTCGAGCGATTGCTTCGTCGTGGCGCCGATTTCCTCGGTAACAAGCCGGCATGCACGCGAAGGAACAGGTAATCGTCTCTAAGTGTATTTCACGCGGTGCTACTCAGACAATGATTGGTACTGTGCATTGCGTGTCGTTCCAGCGCACCGCGGGAAGGCGTTGTCGGCAGATTCCAGCGCCACCTGCAATTATCCGTGATGAAGAGATTATCTAGAGAGTCCATACTGCGCTAAGCACAACTTCTTTTCTGTCATAGATTGTAATTCTAGAACAATTTTACACTGTCGCGCGTCGGTTTGTAATTCTAGGACAGGGGACCGTTTCACAAACAATCGCAACGTTATATGTGTCAGTACTTTACAGTCAGCATTTTACAAACAGGTTGGCGTATCCACATATATCATAAGCAGAGTAGGAATATTGTACTGGTGCTACCATGTATGGGAAGAATGCACATTCAGAAGTTTAATATCTAGCAATTCGTTGTGAAATGAGAACGCAGATTGAGTAATAAAAAGTAAATATAACTATCAAACAATAATAACAGTAAAGTAAATAACGGAGAACTGCGGCCAGAGATGGGGATAAATCTGCGTGCGTGCATGCGTGTGGGTGCGTGCATGTGCGTGCGTGTGCATGTGTTTGCCCGTGTGTACCTATCCAATGTGTGTGTACATGTGAGTGTCATTGCCGGCTCCGTCGAAACGGAAATTTTTTCTGCGCGAAGAACGAAATTTGTGAGAACAGGAAACGAACGGGAAACGAATTCCCAGAAGCTACAAAATGATTACAATAAAACAGCAAATTCGTAAACAGAACGAATTCTATAATGACATAATTATAAACGACATGCTTAAATGCTGTTAATTTCGTTCACCCTTCTCTCGCTCACTATACCTACTGCATTCTTTACCCCATCCGTTCACCACATACTTGATTCCGTTATTCAGTTAATGAACCCACAGTTATTAAAACCCACCAGCCACCCACCCCGCGCAATCGTCTGAGGTCAACCCCACCTTCCAGTCACCTTCAGTCCCACCGCTGATTTTTCAGGTATGCCAAATCTCCATTGAACCGCATCTTCTGCAACCCTTGTTGTTCCGCGTCACACTAGCACATCTAATAGGTTTGTAATGGATCCTCTTTGCTTATCAAGGTCGTACCAAGCTCCCCTACCTCAGGTTAGCACTGATTCGGTCGAGCTGGTGTTGAAATGGTTCGGGTGGATGTTGATTCGGTGCAGACGAGTGTGGATTTAAGGAATGTAAACCAGGAGTCACTTCCCTGTTTGAATAAAAAAAACTCGCCAACCCCAGCAGGGCAGTAGGTCGCCGGGATCTCACAGTTACGGCGAGTGCGACAGATATTGCGCACCCGGCAGTTAGATGCGATATGATATGACTACTAGGCACTTATGATATGACTACTAGGCACTTAAAAAAAAAAAAAACCCTAACCCTAACCCTAACCTAACCTAAACCCTAACCCTAACCCTAACCTAACCTAAACCCTAAACCTAACCTAAACCCTAACCCTAACCCAAAAAAAAAAAAAATTTAATTTAATTAAAGTGCCTAGTAGTCATATCATATCGCATCTAACTGCCGTTTGCGATATTGCAGGGTTCGTAGATGATAACAGGAGCGTAAAACGCACAAAATACGCGCAAATACGCAATATACGCGCAAATATTTGTCATTATATACGCTCCTGATGATAGGCGAGGGTAGCGGTTGCGTGGGGAGGGTGGTAAAATGGAGGGTATAGGGGTAGGGGGGTCGAAGCATGTGTGTGTGTGTGTGTGTGTGTGTGTGTGTGTGTGTGTGTGTGTGTGTGTGTGTGTGTG